TTTTATATCAATTTATTCTCAAAAGAACTTACTTTGTAGGACCATCAACAACCTCTTCCCAATCCTACCCCACTTCTTAAAGGACCCACCATCTCATACTGCTGCCCTGAGGACAGTTCTAACACTTGAACCTAGGAGATACACCACATATCAACCACACCACTGAGTGGCCTTTGGCAAAGGGAGGGTATTAGACTCTATCCCCCCAGCACCTCCTGTGCCTGCCTTGAGTCTCTATAAACGCAAGCCCTGGAGGGCTGATCTCTTACAGTACTGACCTCTGAGTAGGCAGCTGCTATTTGTTTTCATGACTGTGGCCTTCATTGACTCCCACAAATCGGAGTGTCTCCCCCTATAAAAGGATACTGGAAGCAAGGCTTTAGAGACATGGAAGTTTGAGCTAATGCAGAAGTGAGGGAGCAGGTGAGGAGGAGAGATTGGGAGGAAGATGTAGAAGTGGCTGATGGGTCCAGCGACAGAGATACAAGAAGAAATAACCCCGTTTGGGGGCTCGGGAAACTGGGTGAATGATGATATCCCTTTCAGGGATCACAAAGGCCAGTTTGTATTGTTTTAAATGCTACGAGATTGGAGATGATGGCTTGTGCTTGAGGGTCACTGACTGTAAGATGGGGCCTAGAGTCACAGCACTGGATGAGCTCACAGTGGGGGAATGCCTTTCAATCATTACTACGGTTTGAGCACCTACTATGTGCCAGGTTACATTATATGTTCCATGGGAGAAGACATAAACATTTTCCGCCATTCAGGAGCACGCTGCCTGAGTTAACAATATTGTCGTATGAGAAGAAGTGGTAAGAGCTATGATCTGGCAGATGATCCTTAACTACAGCCTAAATGATGAACCACTGTTAGCTAGTGAAGTGGGAAAACAGAATCAGTCCAGGCAGAGAACAATCAAGGCCCTATGGAGGGGGAATCTGCTGTGAGAGGCAGTTGAGGGACCATTTTGGTTATGAGAGGAGCAAAGACAGCCTAGTGGTAGTTGATCAGTCAAGGTCAGCCAAGGAAATATACAGTGTTGGTTCCCCACTTCCCTGAATCCAATGAAAAGTCATGTAGGTTTTAAGTGTGAAGGACATAAGATGTGACCAGCTTAAACATGTTGTTCTCCGAACTTAGCTGTCTTCGGGCTTCTATTGCTGTGAAGAGACACCATGACCGCAGTAAGTCTTATAAAGAAAAACATTTGATTGGAGTTGGCTTACGGGTTCAGAAGTTTAGTCCATTGTCAGTATGATGGGAAGCATGGTAGCAGGCAGGCAGACATGGTGTTGGAGAAGGAGCTGAGAGTTCTACATCTGGATTGGAAGGCAGCAGGAAGAGAGAGTGAGTCACTGGGCCTGGCTTAAACTTCTGAAATCTCAAAGTCCATCCCCAGTGACATACTTCCTCCAACAAGGTCACACCTACTAATAGTGCCACTCCCTATGAGCCTATAGAGGTCATTTCCGTTCAAACTACCACAGTAGCTGGGAAAGTTCTGACTCGGGGAGCCAATTAGACCTAAGTTGTATATTTCCAGCAAAAGTATCTGGCCCTGCTGTCAAGTGGAAAGTTGTTAGACTCTGTAGAATCTTTGGTCAAGTGCTAACCAATGCAATAAAGAAAGAAAGAAAGAAATGAGCGGGTTATGAAGAAAAGAGTCTCATATCCATATGCCTGTTATCAAGAACTATCATCAGAATTCTACCAGACACAAAACCAATCAACTTTGGACAAAAGCAACAACAGCTTGCATGGGAAATTCCAGTCTAGAAACCCTGCCCAATGCTGGACTGATCCAATCCTTCTTATTGATCTCTTTCATCAATGATATTTGATCTCAAACAGTTCATGCAATGTTCCTCATTTCTGCCCAAACTACTCCTTGCCTAAATGTGATGGCTTTGAACACTCCTACAATTTATTACATTGTGCAGATTTTCATATACACCTATTATCTTTGAATTCCACCTTTCCATTTGTTATATAGGCTCATAACCCTGGCTCTAGGAAGCATAGTGACACCACCATACTATGCAGGTTGCTAAGAACACGATGATGCCAAAGAGATGTGGAGTTTGTAGGAATTTGCCACAGAACAGGACACCTTCAGGTTTTATCAAGGCCAGGTGGTGTCGGAATATAATGGAGAAAATGCTTAGAGACTTGCAGGGGCACAAGGCAGGAACCCCGTCAACCTGCTAACCAAGTGTGTGTTCCCAGGGCAGCTCCACTCGCAGAGATCTGTCTACTCTGTGGTGGTTAAATCCAGAATTGGCTTCCCAGAAGCTGAATTTTGAAACTACAAGTTCATGATTCCCCACTCAGCACTGGTTTCACAACAGACAGCAGGACCTTGCTCAGGTCTATCGGTTACATAAGTTACAAACACTAAGGAGTACCTGCCTCGCCAACACTCCCAAGACTCTCACTGTCTCTGCCCTAAGGAGGAGCCAGTGACAGCAACTTTGCTTCCGCCTGCTCCCATCACTGTTACTCAGTCTAACTGGCTCTCCCACCTTCCCCACAATGATTTGTCTGCATTCGCAATGGATCCCCAACTCATAAACAGCCACCACCAAGAGCAGTGAGCAATTGAGCATCCACTGCTTCTCAAGTGCAAGGGTTTATTTAACACGATCTAAAAGAATAAGGAAGCAGACAGTATTTTAATGGTATTTGCTAGTTCAAAGGTCTGGGCAGGTAGCGGTGGCTTGGCAGTGGGGACAGAGAGAAGCTGGAAACATTGGCAGGTGCAGTGACAGCAACTCCCACATTAGTTTGTTGGTTTGGGGATTTTTTTTTCCAGATTGCAAAACAGTTCTCAGATCATAACTGAGACTTTTAACAGTTTGAGAGATGCAGGGTGTTCTCCCAGAGGACAGAGCATCTCAGTCCTTGCCAAACTTTATTCCTAACCCTGAGGATCCATTGAGAGCACAGGAGTCTCCGGTCCAGAGATGGGTCTGGCTAGTGGGAAGTGAATGCAGAAAGGGGTACCAGATGAAAGAGGGCAGCAGCAGTCAGCCAGGTACCGAGGACCTGGGTGGTACAGCACACACAGAATGACAGGATCTGTGGGCTAAGGAGCCAGGGAGAAGGCAGTGTCACCAGCCTAGCCCCCTGCATCCATGTGGCAAGATGGCCCACTGTTGCTGGACCTCAGGGTTTCTAGGAACGTGGGACGGTTTTCTAAAGTGTGAGCATTCTCCATCTTTACACAGTGGAAATTAATTTAAACTTTGAAAAAATTGTTTGAAGGGAATGTGGTTATGGATCCATCAGTCAAACTTTCCACTGATTTAAAAAACTCTAGCCTAGAGTGTTCAAACGCTACCTTATCTAATATGTGCCCTGATTCTCTGTGGTTAAGGATGGTGTTCCTAGTCTGTGAATGAGAAAACCTAGGCACAGTGAGCATCAAGCCTGTCCCATATTAGTCTGAATTTCGGCTATCGGTAATATGAGCAAGGGACAGCTCCCAAGGCCCCTGAAGGTGAAAAGAAAGTTTGGCGCAAGTGGAAATACATATTTTTTTTCTCAAAAAAAGTCCATAGACTTCATCTTATTTTTAAAGATACCCCTGAAAGAAATATCACCCCCATGGGAAAGAACAAACTCTAGAAGGGAGTCAGGTGACCAATGTAGGAAAAGACTAAGTCTCTGTCCCAGGAAAATGCTAGGGAAAGCAAGGCACTTGTCTCAGAGATGAAGCCAAGTGGGGACAGAGCAGCTGCAAGTGGCTCATAAAATCAGGTTCCTTTGGTTCCTCACCCTTTTTACTCAGATGACAGTGGTGTTCTGCAGATAATCTGTACCCATAGTGCCCACCAGAGTCTCATTCTTTGTATGCCAACCTTTGTTATGCACAGATCTGTAACCTGAGGTGCAGGCTACTTGGGGTATCTGTTCCTTGCCACAGCCGACAAGTCCCAGAGAAAATCAACCACACAGAGATCTCTATAAGTTATAAAGCTGATTGGTCCATTAGGTCAGGCTACTTATTAGCTCTTGTAGCTTATGTTACCCCATTATTCTTATCTACGTTAACACATGGCTCCATACCTTTTCCAGCAGGACAGCTTACGTGTTGCCTCTTCGGTGGTCTGCGCAGGAGTGTCAGAGGGAGCTTCCTGTTTTCCCAGAATACTCCCAGTCTCTTTGCTCCACCCCTACTTCCTGTCTGGCTTCCCACCTATACTGCCTGCCTGGCCAATCAGCATTTTATTAAAATATGATTGTCAGAATACAGACAATTCTCCCGCATCACAGATCCACGAAGTTCCCCCCGCCCCGTAAACCAACAAGGAGACCAAGTCCCATATGTAAAAGCAAAGAGCCTTTATTTTAAGCAAGTTTGCAAACTCATTCTCTCCACATGTCCAACAAATAAATGGAGAGTCCTGAGCTCAGTTAGAGTTGGGTTTTTATAGTAGTAAAGGTGGAGGTGATGAGCTTCTGAGATCCAGAATCCCTAATTGGCTGACATTTGTCTAGGAGTGTCCTGGTGCGTGTGTGCTGGCAGGTGATCCTATCTACAGAGGTTGCAACATTAGGCATTTCCTTTGGATGGTTTGTTCTTGGTTGGTGCTCGGATAATCTCAGTTTGTGGTTCTTCCTACAACCAGGTATTGCTCAGGGTAAACTACCCTATTAAACCTATTCATGGCTGAGTCCTACACTGGCAGGTGATAATGATTGGAAGTAAAGAACTTCTTCTTCTTCTTCTTCTTCTTCTTCTTCTTCTTCTTCTTCTTCTTCT